TGTGTGTGTGTGTGTGTGTGTGTGTGTGTGTGTGTGTGTGTGTGTGTCCAAAACCTATTTGACCTCATCAAAGTAACAGAGAAGTGTATGTGTGGAAAAAATAATAATTTGTGAGAAATACATGGTTAGAAACTGTTGAGAGGTGGCACGGTGGATCAGTTGGTAGAGATGTTGCCTCTCTGCGAGAAGGTTGCCAGTTCAAATCCCGGCCTGGGACCTTTCTGGGTGGAGTTTGCATGCTCTTTCTGTGCTGCGTGGGTTTTCTCTGGGAACTCTGTCTTCCTCCCACAAATCAGAAACATGCCTGTTTGCACCTTACACATTGCTCAGGAGGTCCTTGTAAAGGAGATTAATAATATCAGTGGATTTCCTTCCTGATAAAATAAAGGTTTAAATAATAACAAAAAAAAGTTAGGCTGATTGGTAACTAAATTGTACCTAGTTGTGAGTGAGACAGTGAATGGTTGTTTGTCCCGTTTGTCTCTATGTGTCCCTGTGATGGACTGGAGACCTGCCCAGTGTGTCCCCTGTCTCTCACACAGTGAGTGCTGGACATGGACACCAGTGATGCCCGTGAACCAAAATGGAAGAAGCAGGTAAAGATGATGGATGGATTCAAAACAGAAGCTGACGTCACTTTAAAAATGTTCATCTCCACCTCAGCCTTCTCCAATGCAAACATCTAACACTTATATTTTTGACTGAATCAAATTTTTGCCAATGAAGCTGCTGAAACGTGTCGTGATTAAAAGAGACTGACTAGGAAGTTGTTGGCTGGTGTATTTTGAGTACTTGATTTGAGTAAGATTAAAAAGGAAATGACAAGAAAAGTTCAAACTTAAGAGACCCCTTTACTCTGGCTGACAACCTTGCTATGTTCTCTACGATCTTCTAGAACGTGGCTGCATGGCAGCAAATCTGGAAATCTTTCTTTAGTGTGAGGAGAATCATGACACTGTTGTGTTCTTAGTACACACCAAATGTGTTTTATTGCTATGGTTCTGTCATGAGGCACTCTCTTCACCCACCATGTTCTACATATCTACAGCAGGATGTTATGTCTATACAATGGGGCAGCTGTGGCTGAGTGGTTAGAGCAGTTGTCTCCCAATGGGACAACTGGGGGATTCGATCCCACAAGCAGTCACATGCTGAAGTGTCCTTGGGAAAGACACTGAACCCCTCATTGTCTCTGGTGTGTGTCCCATCGGTGTATGAATGTGATAAAGCTCTGATTAATCTTTGTATAGATCTACTAGAGTGCTGTATGAATGGGTAATTGAGGGCACAGGTTTTGTTGTAAAAAGCTTTGAGCATCTTGATAAGATAGAAAGGTGATATGTAAGTACAGTCCATCTACATCCATGTAGACTCATGGTCTCATCATTGGATTTTCCATCCATCCATCCATCCATCCATTATCTTCCGCGTGTTCCAAAGACGGATCGTGGGAGCAGCATCTTGAGCAGGGAGGTCCTGAAATCTTTCCACAGCCACCTCTTCCAGCTCTTCTGGAAGGACTCTAAGAAATTCCCAGGCCAACCGAGAGACATGGTCGCTCCAGCATGTCCTGGGTTTTCCCACGATGTCTCCTCCCAGTCAGACATGCCCGAAGCACCTCCCTGGGGAGGCATCCAGGAAGCATCCTTACCAGATGCCTGGACCACCTCAACTGGCTCCTCTTGATGTGGAGGAGCAGCGGTTCTACTCCAAGTCTCTCCCAGATAACTGAACTTCTCACCCTATCTCTAAGGAAGAGTCCAGCTACCCTGCAGAAGAAACTCATTCCAACCTCCTGTATCCATGATCTCATTTTTTCTGTCACTACCCAGAGTTCATGACCATAGATGAGGGTAGGAACGTAGACTGAATGGTAAACAGAGAGCTTTGTCTTACAGCTCAGCTCCCTCTTCACCACAATAGACAAGCACAGAGTCTGCAGAACTGCAGATGCTGCACCAATCCATCTGTCAATGTCATGGTCGATTCTTCCCTCACTTGTGAACAAAACCCCAAGATACTTGAACTCCTCCTCTTGAGGCAGAACCTCACCCTTGACCCAAAGAGAGCAATCCACCCTATTCCAACTGAGGACCATAGCCTCAGATTTGGAGGTGCTATTTATCATTGGATTTTGTCACAGAATTACTCTTTCACCTCTGTCGGAATGCAGCAATGCATTAGAAGATGAAGTCATTCCTACATGATGCTACTACAGCTACAGGCAAAATGTCTACTCTAAGTTATTTACAGGACTTTAACATAATATACAGAACATTTTTATATATACAGTGGGTTTTCGAGACTCTGTCATCAGTTGTAGTCTTATGGTATACCAGTAAATAAATAAAACACTACTCAATATTTCATACTTAACAAAGCCATTACTTCAGTATGAACAAGCTCTATTACATTTGGTATACTTCATGGTCAGATGGCACTGGCCCTGCTGAAGTCTGAGAATGGACAGGAGAAGGTGTTTGGCTCAGAATATTGACCATATCCACCTTTCTTTCTTCCTTTTCAAGCAAACATGACAATGATGAGAACAAATGCTTCTTACTTTATGTCTGTGAATGGACGGCTGAGCGTGTAAAATATGTCCTTGGCATGTGGAGTGCATGGATTAGTCACTGCATTTGACATGAGAGAATGTGGTGCATTCCTACTGGTTGTAGTAAGAGCTCCCTCCCTGCCAAGATCATACCAACAATTTACTGTGCTGCCAACACATGTGGGCATGATAGTGTTGTAGGCAGACAGCCAGTGAACTTTAAATTCTTGATGACCAAGCCTCACTAGTGTGTGCAGCCCCCACATTAATATGCTGCATGTTCCCCCATGCTATACTCAGAATCTGCTGCACTGTCACCATGATGATAAACCACCAAGGCCGCTCTACAAAAAAAAGTGTTATATATCCATCTATCCATCATGTTTATTTGCCTTTTCAAGTCGTAAGCGAGCTGGAGTGTATGTTCAGTTAAAATCTTCCATGTCCTTACCATCTCTATTGCACATAATGGGAAGTCCACTCTTTTCCCAATACACCCTTGATGATCTCACCAAGACTCTGCAAAACCACAGTCAGGCTTATTTTTTCAACATCGTAACAGAATCATCATCTAGTCTGAAGTGAGTCTAAGGCTGACTGCTTAGAGAGGCAGAACAAGAACCTGTCAGACGAGACAGCTTTCAGCTGAGAGATTACCGTTAGTTATAAAGAGATGTTTGACTTCCCTGAGCTCATTTCTAAATCTGTAGCCTCTTGTACTATCAGTCAGCTTACGTTTAATTGAATAGTACATATTGATATTATTACACATTATACCATTTAAATGCTATTATGTGATATATTTGTCCTAGTTTTAGAGGACAGTAATTTATTGTGATCCACCATCCATCCATCCATCCATCCATCCATCCATCCATCCATCCATCCATCCATCCATCCATCCATCCATCCATCCATCCATCCATCCATCCATCCATTATCTTTACCTGCTTCTTCATTTTCAGGATGTGGGGGTCACTGATGCCCATATCCAGCTGTGCGAGAGGCGGGGGGATGCCCTGGACAGGTCTCCAGTCCATCACAGGGACACACAGAGACAAACGAGACAAACAACCATTCACTCTCTCTCTCACACCTAGAGACAATTTAGAGTTACCAATCAGTCTAACGTGCATGTTTTTGGTCTGTGGGAGGAAACTGGAATACCTGGAGGAAACCCACGCATGCACGGAGAGAACATGCAAACTCTACCAAAAAAATGCCCCGGGCCAGGATTTGAACTGGCGACCTTCTCGCTGAAAGGCAACAGCTCAACCAACTGATCCACCGTGCTGTCCTAAATGTTATTCAACTTAACTAAAATTAAAATTCCAGTAGTGGCATTTGATTTCAGCTCAACTAAATTCATTAAACATTTATTTATACAGGTTAATCCCATTGAGCCTCGATGCCTCTTTACCAAGAGAGACCTGAATTTTTTAACAAAGAGCGATGACAACAGTGGACAACAACGACAACAATAGACAAAAACAACTGTTCCCTGACCGGGAATCGAACCTGGACCACGGCGGTGAGAGATGTAAGTCATGTGTTTCAAACTACTACTAGTCTTTTTAATTTTAAATGTGGACTTTGTGAATATGTTCTCAAAACCTCATACTGACCTGCTCAGTTTATTGAGAAATACATTTTGTAGAAGTGAACTTGTAAAACTCTAAGTTGGAATTTGGAGATTGACATTTGCAGGGATCACTTAGACACCCTTTTTTTCTGAACTGAAGACATAATATGACATAAACAAACATATTGCACTATGGAACAGTCCGCCTGGGTTGACAGAATTTAAGAATTTATTCAAGAGATCAAGACAAGCAGCTCGCCATCTGGAAGCACTTCTCTGCTGTTCTGTCTCCTCTCCAGACTGAGCAGAACTTGTGTTGCTCAGGATCTTGCTCGGAATGACTAAAGCGAGCAGACTGCTGTTGTCTGAGGATCACAGACGTGTCACAGGCTGACAGCATGGCACTTCAAGACACATTGTTTACTTCATCCTGTCACTTAGGTTTGCAAAAATGTTTACTCTTATTGTCATTATTTAAATTTTTTTCCCCTGCAACTTGGAATTTACCGTAATTTCCAGACTATTGAGTGCACCTGATTATAAGCCACGCCCACTAAATTTAAAAAGAAAAAAAAGTACATTTTTTAGGCCACACTTGTCTATGAGCCATGGGTGTCCATATTGTAACAT